AAATGCTTACAAATATCTGAAGGGTGGGTGTCAGGAGGATGGGGCCAAGCTCTTTTCAGTGGTGCCCAGTGACAGGACAAGGGGCAATGGGCACAAACTGAGGCACAGGAAGTTCTGTCTGAACATGAGGAAGAACTTCTTCCCTCTGAGGGTGACGGAGCCCTGGCCCAGGCTGCCCAGGGAGGCTGTGGAGTCTCCTTCTCTGGAGATATTCCAGCCCCGCCTGGACAAGGTCCTGTGCAGCCTGCTGTAGGTGACCCTGCTTGGGCAGGGGGGTTGGACTAGATGACCCACAGAGGTCCCTGCCAACCCCTACTATTCTGTGATTCTGTGATTCTAGCAGCAAGCAGAGGGCATCATGTCTACAAAACCATCCAGTGAGGAGGGACGGCACAAGCTGCTGCGGGCCTCACCAGCAAAACGAAAAGTTCTCTTTCCAAGCAGGACGTGTCTAACACATCTGTAAAAGGCTCCCAAAGCATGAGCTTCACCATGACTTTGGTAGAGCCTGAGCTTCTGGACGTCCGATGTCCTGGGGATTCTCACACTAAGCTTCCTTCCCTGAGCTACTGTCAGCTTTTCTTCCCATGGCTCACGGACCAAAACACAGTCCAAACCTCAGGTAACGGCCACTGATGCCACCCGAGCTTCTGAAAGCCTGGCACACTCATAACAGCACTCACAGAATCAGAGAATGGTCTGGGTTGGAAGGGACCTTGAAGATCATCTGGTTCCAACCCCCCTGCCATCAGCAGGGACATCTTCCACCAGCCCAGGGTGCTCAGAGCTCCATCCAACCTGGCCTTGAATCATCTACTTCACGATAAAGGCAATCCCAAGAGACCAGTATTTTTCCCACTTAACTGTGTTCTGATGATTGGCCCCGTTCTAGAGGAACCAGATGAACTCTTCTGAACAACCCAAACCAAAGCTGGCAGGGCCAAAGGGGCTTGTTCAGCCTGAAGAAGAGAAGGGTGCGAGGGGACCTTATAAATGCCTACAAATAAGGCTGGAACTGGTGGGGCTTAACAAAAGCTCTGGGAGAGTCCAGTCTCCTTCCTCATGTTGCTAGCAGCCTTCCTTTTTTCCTCAGTGTTGATTTCCCCCCTGTTTTCCAGACTTTTCTTTGGTCACGTTATTTGGATTTAAAACATTCTGGAATTGCAATCCTCCCACATTTTTGCCTTGAAGACAATTATAGACAAAGATCTGTTAATAAGATTCATGCTCAAATGGATTATATGGGGAAATCATGGGGGAAACTGACAGTGATGCAAAACCCACTGTGTGAAAATCCGCCGGGTAAGATGACTTTCAGTTCCCTCTGAGGGTGACGGAGCCCTGGCCCAGGCTGCCCAGGGAGGCTGTGTATCTGTAGATATCTGTGTATCTGGAGATATTCAAGACCCGCCTGGACAAGGTCCTGTGCAGCCTGCTGTAGGTGACCCTGCTTTGGCAGGAGGGTTGGACTAGATGACCCACAGAGGTCCCTTCCAACCCCTACTACTCTGTGATTCTGTGAAAGGGAGGGAAGAACAGAGAGAGGCAGCTCTACGTGACTGGGAGTCCTCACGCTGTATCACTGTCTTCCCTGCGACACCGCCACGAGGAAGGGGACACGGCCGACCCGCTGCATTCCCGAACAGACGAACGTGGGCACCGTTAAAACGTTGAAAGCTGTGCACATCCTTGCCTTAACGCAGAAAACGGCGAAACCGAGAGAGAGGATTTTGCCTTTGTTAGTCCGAACGCGGCGCTGGCACGTTTTCACAAGAGGGCAACCAGCCGGGACGCAAAGAACAAGGCTCTACCTGCTGACTTCAGGGCCGCAGAGTTTCCCTGTCAGATTTTTAAAATGAGGGTTGCCTGCTCTGCAGGCAGAGCCAATTCCTGCTCGAGGTTTCGGCCACCTCCTCCTCCTCGCCCGCACGCTGCCAGCCAGGCGCCCGCCCAGCAGCCGGAGGGAAGGTGTCGTGGTCAGCAAGTCCTCGCCACGAAGCCCGGCGAGTTCGGCCCCTCAGCTCTGTCCCTCCTCCGGCACAGCCGCCTGCCACCAGGAACGCCCAGACTAAGAGGGCTTCCCAACGAGGCCCAGAAGTCACGGGGGAGGAGGTGACCGATTCCACCGCTCCGATGCTTCACGTCCAGACAGGAACAGGCAGCCTTACCAGAAGCATAAAAGTCAGGGTCGAAGTATGCCATGAGGAAGAAGTTGAAGACAAGCAGCAGGAAGCCAGAAAACGTTATCAAATTTGGGGCCAGCCAGGTAGGGAAGATCTACGGGAGAGCAGCAAAAGAACACACAAACTCATTAAAACACGTCACAAGGACCACGTGGTGCTGCCAGCCACGGCGCAGACCGGGTTACAACCGCCTGGTTGTTAGACTACGCGGCTCAGGTCACATCCGACGTGTCGCAGGGCAGCGGGAAGCCGCAGGCTGGCAGGCAGTGCCCTTCGTAATTAGCTGCACCGCAAACGAAGCAGGGCTGTGCAGCCAAGCAGGGCCTTTCAGCCGACAGTTTTGCAGAGAAAACTTTCGCGGTGACGAGACGCTCGGGGCAGGATGAGGCCTCACCTTCACGATCGTGTTCCAGAAGGGGTGCATGACGTACAGAGACAGGGGGTTGCTGTCCACGGCACTGTACTGTGATCTGCAAGGGGAAAAACAAAAAAAAAAACAGTTAGGGCTCCACCAATGCTTGCAAAAAGCCAGAGATCCTGAACACTGAGCTTTCCACCAGGATACCTGCTACCCACAGAGGCACAGAATCACAGCATGGTTGGGGTTGGAAAGGACCTCTGTGGGGCACCCACC